CTGCTGGCACATGGGTTTGGCCAAGGCCCACCCTTCCTTTCAGCAACAGGGAAAAAGAGCTTGGGGGGGGATGTGTGGAAGGATGAGATAGAAACAAGCAGCAATCCATGAACTTCCATGGCAAGCTACCTGCTTTGCACCTCTTCAATGATCATCCATCTACAGTCACAGCAATGTTTAGGCAAAAACACTTAGACCTGATTAAGATCAGGTAGAGGAAGCATATTCCCAGAAACATGAACCACATGTAAAGAGCAGTGCATTCTTGATCTGGTGAGAATTAAAGAAATACAGCATTCCAACAGCTCTGTTGGAGAATATTAAAAATACTACCTTTTTTTTTTTTTAATACAGTCTCTTAGTTTACAGGAATGAACTGATTAGGTATTTTAACCTCAGCTAAGTGTGAAGACAAGCATCACAAACATCTTCCACCAAAAAGGCTAGTTAGACACACTTTCCATATAGAAACTGCAGGGCTTCAGCATAGAACATTTACAAGACACTAACCCGAAGGTGCTTTTAAAAGGAAACACACTGGACATAACGTTCAGGTATAGCTGAACATTAACAAAGCCTGAGGATCCACAAGACTGGCTGGTCTGCTTGGAACAAGATGGATTTGAAGGGAGAACTGGACACTGATCTGCATGTAATACATAACTGAAAACAGAGCCAGCTGCCAGCAGAGACTGCTACCAAAAAGGAAACACTTTCAGCAAAGATTTGCAATGTAGTCAATAACAACTTTTGACATGAAACACCTAACCAGACTCTTAAACACAAACACAGCAGTGGCTAAACTGTCCTGAAGTGCTTTGTTCACCTTTGCTTCCTTACTGAAAGGTTCAAACTCTATGGCCCAGATAAATAAGTAGAGAAAGCAGAACATGGGGAATTTAACTGTAAGAATCATCACTTATTCTCAATTGCCTGATAGCTGGCAATGGAAATGTTTGTGCAAAGCAACAGAGCTGATTACCTTTAAAGCAGTCCGACTTCAAGTGCTCAGGATCTGCAGGATACGCAAAGTCCATGGAGCTTGGTTTTCTGGGGTTTTGGGGGTTGTGTATTGTTGTGTGGTTGGGTTAAGAGGTTTTTTTTGGTAAAATCACATCCTAGATCACTGATTTAAGTTACGATAATTGCAGATCTACAACACTAAGGTAGGAATCATACATGCTTTCTCCAAAGCCAACATGAAGGCAGAGATTAATTTCCTGGGAGTTCTGATCCACCCAGACATGTAGCACATTGTTATGGGGCACGTCTGTTATGAAATTCAGCTTATTTGAAGAGCTAAGAAAACACTAAGCTAAGTATTTAAACTTGCACATTCACTCTGAATATCCAAGTAGTAGACCCATGCAGTATAATCTGGTAATTAGTAAGAAACTTCAGTTTATGCATTCTCAGACCCAAAAGCTGGATTAAGTTTGAAATTATTGCCATTCTGCACATTGCCATCCTCTCTTCCAATTATTATTATTTGGACAAGAGAGTATTTAAGATGAAGTCACTTTGTATAACTGTAAAAAAGTTTATCTATTGCCACACAAAACTTTAGGTTTCTTTAGCCTCAATAGCCGGAATTAGCTGCTGGGGGACTAGTTCAACCCAAGAATGGTTGGTGCTCAAACCCAAATTAAAATTAGATTATCAGAAATTAGGTGTGAGGATTAAAGGAAGCCCTTAAAATGAATGAAACAGCTTTCAGAAGCTATATATGAAAGAAGGTGGTCAGAAGGCAACTTTTCAAGCTGACAAAACAGACCAACAGCCAATGGAGGTAGTCATCAGGCAGTATCAAAGGACAGAGTGGCAATGAAAGGAATTCCAGAGGGAAAGATTTCATTTGAAAGCACAGAAAAAAAAAAATCAAAACATTACTTAATAATAGGCAGGGAAACAATAATTATTCAGGAGAGGGGATTTAGGTACTGTGCTGTGTGGCTGCAAATGTATCAACCACAATACACACTCAGGAATATTTAAGTTTCTGTAACTAGTTTTCAAGGGATTCCAGTGGTGTTTGTTTCTGTCATGCCTCCCAGATTCAAACAACCATCATACACACAGTCTCTTACTAAGTTTCACATGAAAAAAATCTTTAAAAGTTTTAGGGAAGAGTTAAGAAAAACCCAGGTCAGATGACAGAGCAAGCATAGAATGCTTTCCTGGTACAGTACCTCAGAGCAAAGTATCAACACTACTCCTCAATTTCAACATGTTTTGGGGCAGAGATATCCCTTTCTAAAATCTCAATTTAGGCTGACTAGTTAGAATAGATAAGGAACTATCTGTTCAGTTGTGAGATTTTTAATACACTGAAGTTACTCTATAAAGCTAAAGATAACTCAAAATCAGGCTCAAGCACATGTGAGTTAATTTCAGCAAAATATAAAATCGAAAACAGATGGTCCAGGTTGTAAAACCTCAAAAGAAAGGCACATTCATTTATTGCTGTGAAGATTAATTAGAAATCAAATCTATCAAAAGTGTCAGAAGTACTTAAAGCTCTCATATTACAGCATCACTGAACAAAGGGCAAAAAAAACTGTTTTCCAGATTGTATTCAAAATTTATTTTTAAATAAAAGAAAAAAACAAGACAATGATTTTAAATAAACATGGTATATTCTACACATCTGTAGATCAACACAACTTCACATTAGCCATTTTTAACTTCCAGAAGTTCTGTTGTAGTATCTTCTACAATATTTGACAGTGTTGGTTTCCACTTTATCATCAACCAAACAATACTCAAATGAAACTATTTGCTTAAGTGAAGCTTTATTTTTTATGACCAAAGATGGCTCTACTATTTCAAAAGCACCTATTAAACAATTATCCCCACCTAATTTTTTAAAAAATTAGGTCTGTTCAGTCTTTTTTTTTGGTTCTGTTCCATTGCCTGCATAGAAATCAGCATAAAGCTAAGTTGCAAGCTAAGCTTCACTTCAGCAGTGCAATGAATGGCAGCAAACTTCATGAAACAAAGATACAAACATTGTCAGCAAAATTCAACTATGTTAAAAACAACATTAAAACCAGAATGTTTTCGTGGGTCACAACTAGACTAGCTTTCAGTGTGCAGCTTTCCTCAGGAAAAGTGCTTCTTCCTGATTCACATGAAAAGAATGAAGCATGCATCAAAAGCCTTTGTTCACACAGAAATGCCCATTGAAAGAGTTCCATGGTATAAGGCAAAATAGATATTACAGTGGATGAAGCATTTTGGCCCAGAGAGTGTTTTACAACACATACATACACATTACACTTGTGTAGCATATGATCAGTAAGGGATTGGCTCATTAAGGTAAAAATGTCCATTTTTATAAATAGATGTCATTATTGCTAATATGCTACACATTATCACCCAACTTTTAAAGCTGCTTTGTTGGCATTACTCTTCTAATTAGCAGCTCACATTCATGGTGACAATTTCCATATAAAGAAAAGTAAAGCAGCATAAATACAATTACAAAAAAAAAGGCTTATGCAACATCCCTCTCCAGCTTTGCTGTGTCTTTTTAATTAAAAAGTGTTCAAAGAAAACAAGTCCAGTTCACCACAAATTAGAAAGTCTCACAATGAGGTTGGAAACCAAGCTACAGGGAACAGAGAGGGGTAAAAACACGGCATGCATTATAATCTAGTCCTTTTAGTCATACCACTGGAATACAAAAGTCCAATTTAAAGGCTAGACTAACAGTAGAAGGCAAAAAGCCAAGAGTAGACTTAGTTTGATATTTAAATGAAGATTACAGTTTTAATCAGTAACAGCAAACTCACTCGGCCCTTTAATATGTTCACAATATCTACCGCAATTGAATATTTAACTGTGACTAGTAGAGGGTATGTATGTTCACTTTAAAAAGATATTAAATACCTGCATCATGAAATTACATTCTTAAGACATTGTGTAAGAAAATAGCTCATGTGTGAAATGTTTCTGAAATGTATTTCTGCTCCCTTCTACCCACTACTATGTCCCCCACACACACGCAACCCACCACCCACCCCCATCAAAGCATTCACTCACAGGGAAAAAGGAAACAACCCTTAAAAAAGGATGGAAGTAGAGAAGGGGACCAGCTTGGCTAGTTACAGCACAGTGCTTAACAAGGTTCAAGACAGAACCAGATCAGAGTTGGCCAAAAGATGCCCACAACTCATGCCTGACCAGTAATTCCTTCCAACTCATTCTATCAAACTCAGTCCACTTTTGGTTCATTGCAATGACTAAAGTATTTCATATATACATATAAACACAAGACTCCAGCTTTACTTCAGTTTGTTTTTGCAAAGCATTTTTACGGTTCCATTCGTTTTGTTCTGCAGCAACTACAAGAGGTAGGCATAAAGCATTTAAGAGCTTCTTTCCCAAGGTCCTGTTACTAGCTCAATTTAGTGGGATAAAACAGAAATCAGCTGTACTCTGTGATTTTACTAGGTACAGACTTGTACAATCCATCTGGAGAATAGCTATGTGAACCCTGGATTTGCTAGGCCAGCACACACCATGGAGTAAGAAGCTGTTCATATCCAGGAGGATACTTATTTTTTTTCAGAAGAGTTTACTGCAGAGCATTCCTATAGAAAGTAGATGTCAGGACCAATTCTCTCCGTTTCTATTTGTACATAGTAGCAAGGTACCATTTGGCCAAGACTATACGTGTATTTTCACAGATGCAAGTGCCATGCAAAAATAAATTAAAGAACAGATACCAAAACATACAAGTAATAAAACTACTTAAGGTAGATTTTCTTAAAAGTATTTATATAAACAATTTATAATACTTTTCTTTCCCCACTTCTCTTTTTGACATTCACAGTTACAAAGTTGTGGCTATACATCCAGAATTTCTTCTGCAGTGCCTCCACAACGTAATCTGTAGCGTCCTGTCCTCCAGCTAATAGTGGGGTCCCACAAAGCAGATAGGAAAATATAAATTGTCATGGATTCTCTGATGAACCAAGCTACCGCATAATCAAGTTTTGAAAAACACAGGGCACCACCCTAGGAATAAAAAATAAATAAATAAATAAATAAAAATTAAATCCCCCCTGATTATTCAAAAGGAATCTTAAAGTAATTTAAAACATTTGTGTTACAGAGAAATCTATTCTAAAAGTTATTATACAGCTTTACAATCAATAGCATATTTTTTAACAAGCCAAGAACATCTTCCTATTCAAGAGATTAGCCATGTTAATTAAACATGAGAAGCCTGACAGAATGACCCACAAGGTTTGAGTAGAGCCTTGTATGTAGAGCAAAAAGCAAGGGAAAGTGTGACAATTCCACTTTTTTCTTCTTTTTGAAGCTTTGTAGAACTGTGTTCAAGAAGACACTAGGTTTTTGCCACAGATCCCAGAAGAACAGCACCTAGACAGAACACTCCTGCACATTCCCAGAGGAGTGAAATGAAAACAAATAGCTCTTTGGCCTATTGCATAAGAAAACTGAGACTAAAAAAAAAAAAGCTTATAGCCTCTCAATATTTTCTGCTCTTTTGAGAACTTCCAGCTACATGCAGAGCTGGAAATCAAAAAGGCTTCAGAAGAGGAAGAGTGGGCACAAAGCTCTTTTACATGCTCCACATGGTGAGAAGTAATCAGAAAGGTGACTGTTCTGGAGTCCTACAGAATCAACATAAGGCCTAACTTTTTTTTTTCCCTCTCACTATTTCCAGTATGTGTCAAGAGTACCAAAGAATATTTTTCTGTGTGATGAGAAGATTTGATAAGTTTCAATACACAAGTAACTGTGGATCAGATTTGGAAGGAATATGGTCACAGCAGAAAGTAGTCCAAATTGTTCCTGCAGCATTAGAAGAACAAACGGTGTTCTGCTTTGTGACTTCTATATTAAAAGTTTTTTGAGGCCTCACTTCTAGCAACAGGAAGATTTTGTTTCTAGAAGTAGGCTATAGCTGTCCTATAAGTCCATTATCTACACAAGTAACTGTGGATCAGATTTGGAAGGAATATGGTCACAGCAGAAAGTAGTCCAAATTGTTCCTGCAGCATTAGAAGAACAAACGGTGTTCTGCTTTGTGACTTCTATATTAAAAGTTTTTTGAGGCCTCACTTCTAGCAACAGGAAGATTTTGTTTCTAGAAGTAGGCTATAGCTGTCCTGTAAGTCCATTATCAAAGTAGAATTAAAATATGTACTGAAGAGTTCATCCACATCTCAATAAATACAAGACAAAGTGACAACTAAGGTAAAAGAGAAAACCATAAAATCCCACGAAGTTGCTATTCTTGAATTGTTAAAAAGGCTTAGAATTTCTGGATATGCCCAGGTAGACTGGAAATGTGAAGGTTAAGGGGACAGATACACAAACTTTCAGAGCCTAGGCAGAGGCAGGTGTATATAGACAACAAAATTAGAGCCAAGCACGCTTCATACTTTTTATGCTACTATAACTGAAGCTGGAAGACTGAGAAGTAACAGGATTTAACCTGTTATTTCCTTGATGTCAGGAGAATTATTTTGTTGTTACAGTTAGGCTTAGCTTTTTGCTGAAGTAGGTGGCACTAGTAACTTTAATAATCTGAAAAGAAAACGAAGCTACATACCTGAACACCTTTTAGTTGAATGTAGTCAAATATAAACCATGCCAAGCAGTGACACATGAAAAATACCATTATATCCCATCTAAACACATGATGAGCTGCCCATCCAATAACTAGACTGGCAACAAAGCACTCTGAGATTGGCTCACAAATTATTGTGGCAGGCAACATATTAATTCGCAGTTTGGCCCACCTAGAAAAGACAAACAAACCAGTTCTGACTATGCATTATTCTTTATGGCCTCCTCCCCCACCTCATCAAATGATAAACTGGTTTAATCTCACGTAATTTACCCCTCCAAATAAAATATTGCAAACATTCTCCCTTTCAAAAGCACTGCACATAGCATTTAAAAGGTACTAAGGGTTTTTTGGGGGTTTTTTAGGGTTTTTAAATACTTCTATCAGTTACACTTCTGTGGAAAGTCAGTGCCTCTCACCAAAAACTAACAAGAAGAATGCATCAAGCTGTGCATTAGAACTTCAGCATTCTATACAGTAGATCAGACTAGCTTGGAAAATGTACTCCCTCTCAATATCAGGTTATCAACATCAGAAGCAGATGAGAGGGGTGGGTGGGAGAGAAAGTGAAGATTAAAATTTTACCTGATCATTCTGGACTGAAACTGAGAAATAGAATATGAACCAGAGTTTTGCATCGCAACTTGCGTGGCCATTGCAAATTTCCAGCCCCTGAAAAATGAATTTATTATTATAAAAAATGATGTAAGATAGATGAAAAAAACAATTAGAGAACAAACAGCCAAGAATTTTATTAGGCTTGAAGAGTTCCTTTGGCATATATGCTATATTATTACAGCGGGTATAAGCAAAAAAATTAACTGTATTTTGTGAAGTCTCTTCATCAGAAAAGAGCAAATACCACTGGAATATTACTTAAATCGAGTTTTCAGAAATTTTTTTCTAAAGGAACTGACAATTATTAGCTTAAGTATTTTTAAAAGACTGTATTGGTAGGACAAAGCACATGTCATAAGCGTACCATGTGTTTAAAATAAAATTTTTAAATGGTACTTAAAGCAATAAGCTTACTTCAGAGTCATCTTACCGGTCAGCTATAGCTTTGGCCATGAAGTAATCTTCAGCAATATATTGTGCAAAAGCTATCAGTCCCCCTGCTTGGTCCAAGACATCCTTCCTCATCAAGCACGACATTCCTGTTACACACTTAAAGCCAGTTAAGTTGGCTGAAATATATGACCTTGGATGTGAAGTTCCAAAATAAACCTGCCAAAACAAGATAAGGCTTTTAACACTCTATATGTATTTACAAAAGTACTACTCCCTGACAACTTTTTATCCAAAAATGTTTGGAGGGGAAAAAGTGCTAGACATCACCAGTTCTGACAGTCTATTTGGAAAGATCTTTACCACCAACCTAAGAAATCTAGTCTACCACCAAATCTGAGAAATTTCGTAGTGATAGTGGCTGTTTTTTGCAAATCTATAAATGGATTTTAAATCCACATATTAAACTACCATATTTCATTTGGTATTTAATTTCTAAGTTATTGAGGTTGTTCTCAGGGAATACAAATTAAAAATCCATTAAGTAACTTACTAATCACTAGGATTAATATATTATTTGGTGATAGCTGACAGACATGCTGTGTCCTTCCTTTTGTAAAGATTAACTGCATTACTGCATACATGTTCTAAGAAAGTTACTCTATGGTTGTACAGAAGCAGGGGAATTTTCTTTTCTTAGTGTAGCTGCAAACAGAAATAGCAAAGAAAAAAATTCAGATTGTGAGCGAGCCTTTTTACAAGATTCAATAACTTAAAACTAGGAGTGTCCTACAAAAAGAGAGTGGGAATGAGTGCTAGTGCCTCTCACTAATATTGCTTCTACAGACGGCCCTCATACTGGTCTTACTAGTACAGTAACTCCTTTGAGAAAAGGCATGCTCTTCTTGCAGTCTACTGGATCTAGAAACACAGGAATATAGAAGGAGGAATTGTAATTCCTGCTACTTTAGCACATAGCAGTATTAAGAGCTTTACGCTGTAGCTCCTTGCTCTTCTCTAAGAGGAAATTCAGACTTTGTGTCACAAAAATCACATGAGCTGTCCCCTCTCCACTCAGTGAACGAGTGCTGAATTTCACTGCACTCTCATCTCTCACATTTCTGTCTTTGACACAGATTAGCCAGCCTTGGGGTCAAAATGCCTTTTTATGTGCTAGCTTAGAATAAAAGATAGTTGATTAAATTACATGCCTTGAGACACAAGGAACAAATGAAAACTCGATCTCTTCATTCTACAAGAAGAGAATTTACTGAGAAAGAAGAGAGGGGGGAATAGGACAGAATGAGTGATATAAAGATGGTGGATAGGAATCAACTGTTCACTTTGTCTTCTAAAACAAGTATTAGGAGACATGAAATAGCACTATAGAAAGCCAAGAGTCAGAGTGAAAAAGGTAGTGCTTCCTGTAACAGGTAGTAATAGATCTACAAAACTTCCCGGTAAAAACAGTTACAGATGTTGGAAAAGTTCATTTAAGAAATCTGTTCTTACTAAAATACTAGTATACTGAGGATTAGTAAGTATACAAGCCTGCTTCCAGTTCAGGAAGTCTCTCAGCTGAAAATTGCAGAGAGTTGAGACAGTATTACAAGGAAACCAGGTATAAACCTTGCTTGTGTTCTGCTCTCCTAAAAGGCTCTGCTCATAACACCTGCTGGAAACAAGATACTGTGTGAGCTGGACTTTGCTCTGACTTGTCATGGCCATTTCTGTGTTCTTTTCAGACATCAAAATAGAATTAACGTCCCTTTCTGATGAAGCACTACAAAGAGTTCTTCAGTTCTAATAAATTTTTAAATGAAATCCATCATTTTCATCCTGTAATCTTTAATGTTTATGTTGTAAACTGAAACACTGAATGTTTAGAGCACCATAGTAGAATTCTGGAGCATTTAAAAGTTATGCTAGATAGTTAGAAGTGTGACAGCAGCTGAAAATAAACCAAAACAACAACAAAAAACAGAAACCAACATTGCACTCACCTGTTCAAGGGTAGCAGCAAAACCCTGTCTGTCTGCAACATAGGGAAGCCCATGGACCAAGCCTACTTTTTCAGTCATTTGATTGGCCATATCTGTCAGCGTGTCTGGTGTTACTAAGTGGCAAATGGAAAAAAACAGTTCATTGAGCAACTCTGTCATTAGCAAACTATTGCATGGAGACATGAATTCTCATTCCATTACCCATGTCAAGAGCACGTATACTTCAATGCACAGTATTTTGGAGGGATAAAGTTTCAGAAAAATAGTGATTAACATAATTATTATGCTCAACAACAAATACAACGGAAACAGTTCAAACAGTATTTTTTTTTTTAAATGGGATTTTCAGCTTTAGTTAGAGATTAAACATTTTTATACTATGAAAATATTTCTCCCAGATTTTTAAGTTTCATTTCTACGTGTATTCCCAGTCAAAATAACCTCCAACAACTGCTTGCCTACAGGGAATAAGAGCAATATAACAGTTAGCACCTTACAACACACACCTACCTCTGATTCCACTATCACAAATCCATATGAGATCGTATTTGGCAACTTCATAGCCAGGCATTAAATTGTTGATCTTAGGGTTGATGCCAACCTTCTTGCCACCTAAAAAATACAAATATCATACACAAATAATGTGTAGAGTTTTTTTTTTTTAATTCAGACTCAATACTCAAAATATTTAGATATACTAACTGAAGAACAGTAAATGTTTACCCACCAGTTCTTAAAGTCCACTTTTAGGAAAAGGATTTATATTTTCATTATTCCTTCATTTCTACATTTTAGATCTTACTACAATTATGCAGAGAATTAAAAAGGAAAAAAAAATCAATCACTTCCTCAAAATGGCGGGGTAACAAGGTTAATGTAATTAAAAGGACAGTAGAACTATAAACTTTATTACTACATTCTGTAAGCTAAATATTCTCTCTCTTATTTCTTAAAGACTACTGATTATGACCATTATACAGTAATTTTAGAGGAAAAATTAGAAAGGAGCAGAATAAAGTGACACACATGCTTGCTTCCAGCTGATGGTCCAGTTTGTTTCATGTCAGAGAAAGAAAAGTGACATTCTACTACCTAGTTCTAATATCCCTTCCCTCGTCTAATTCAAACATGAAGTGAAGAAAGAGCCCTGCAGTCTAAGCTGATGTAAAAAGACTGTTGCAGCACCTCAAGCTCAAATACAGCCACAACTCTAAGTCACTTCCTGCACACTTAGTTCAGTGCAAAGACAGGATTTAAATTGCTGTTTCAGATTAAGAAGGAAAAAGTTGCGAGGGTTGTGTAAATCATTCTTCCTAGAGCTTTTTTGGACTGGTGTCACAGACTGTCCACAAACTTATTTCTTTACCCCAAACTGAAGATTAAGCTACAGAACTAACAATGGCTGAACAAGACAACTATTTTAGAATCCCATATGTTGAGTCGAAGACGTAAAACCTGCAGTCTAAGCAGAGTCCCACCTTCGAGTTGCACTGCTTACCTATGAACAGTCTAGCATCAACATTCGGGTATTTGCCAAGGAGCTTCTTACAGACATCAATAGCTGGATCATCGTGATCTTGTACACAGAGCAGTACTTCATACTGGTAAAAACAAAAACGTATACGCACACATATATTTACACACACACATATTTAATATCAACATGGTCTAGGGAATAAAGCTTAGTAATGGACCAAACTGAGAAAAATAAAGAGCGCTGTTATAGAATTAAAAATAAAACCAAGAGGGTTGTTTTACAGCTAAATAAGACTATTTTTTAATGCACAACCAAGTACTTGTGAAAAACTAACCAAGCTTGTTTCTCGGTAAACTCTTGTCCTGAGAAACATTAGTTCTGCTGTTATCAGAAGGATTTCTGTTAGGCAGGAAGCAAGGCATCCTGGTGTACAAAGTAAAATGTCTATTTTCTCTTCCATTTTTGTTCATAAATTAATCTGAAATCCAATCTCATTCAATGAGATTATATCACACGAAATATTACAGGAATGATGTTATGACACACTTGATTGCATACCTCTGAACTACACCTTCCTTTCCTTTACTTTGCAGATGCATATGCAGAACAGAGTTGGAAGACAACTCAGAGACCAGTATATGTAAGTGTAAATATTAACTGTATAAAAAAAGCTAAGCTCAGGAATGTATAATGTATATGTGTATTCCTCATTAACACAATAATGGTTAAAAAAATCAACAAGAGGTAAGGGAAAGCTGTACCTGCTTCCACAATGAGGCTACATGCTTGTTACACGTGAGTTACAGACAGAGGGTGAGGAAATAGAATTTGAAGAATCACTCAACCTTCTGAGACAACTTTGCAAGCTTTGATGGAGGTATTTGTTTCTGCATTAACAGCAAACTCCTTTAATACTCCTTAATTGATATTAACCTTCCTCTCTCCTCTTACAATTACTGAACTATTATAAGTTGTTAGAGCTCCAATCCAAAGACTAAAGTTCAGAAAAGGCAAATTTCTGATCAAAATACCTAGAAGTCACTTTTACAATCCACGATTTAAAAATTGTCTCATGAAAAAGTATTTTCTTGCACCTCATTTGATGTAGCAGTTGTAAATAAGAGTCACAACTAGTGATCAAAACAGTTCTTATTCTCCCTTATACTATTCTATCACCTCACTGAACTTAATTTTCAGTAAACTACTTAAGCAAAAAGTAATCTGAACTTCAAATGCTTCCTGTGGGCTCAATGATGACAATCTCAGACCTTGTCCCTACAAGAAGACGTTAAGTTAAATAAATACATTCTTTCAAGAAAAAGTGATATTGTTAAACAAAAAATCTCACTGACTCGCTGCAGTCAGAATATTGAGGAAACTTAAAATCATTAACCACACGTGAGTTGGAAAGACTTGGTCTAGCACTACAAACTGTAAGACAAACACATCTCTACCTCTCAGAAGGCAAACTCAAAGCTCATTTGCCTAAAGAGCAAGCAGTATTTGATTCCCATCCTTTTACCAGCATGGAAAATGGAATTTAAAGGGTAAAAGACCTGTCTCATTAAGCAGACAGGTCCTTCCACCACAACAGAACTATCCTGACAGCCTGAACACAACAGAAATTACCAACTGAAGAAATTAGTTCTTTATTGCTTATACAATTAAATATGTAAAAGAACAACTACTTTTCTAGTAATTAACTGATCTTCAATTCACAGTTGCAATGACACTTCTATATCCATATTCTCCAAGAAATTAAACTAGAAACAAGTAACTTTGACATTCCAATATTTGAAAACAGAAAAATTAACAGTAAATGGCCTCTGTATACAGTAACAAAATAAAGAACTACAAAATATATGACTAAAGCAGGAGAAATATAAAGATGCTTATCTATATTAACATCACAATGAGGTTCATTTGGACATAACACGAACAGAAAGATTTCTGCCAAAATGACAACATGCATAGTAGGAAAGAAGTGTTCACTGACAAAAATATGTGGAAGTCCTGCAGTTTAGAAGCTGTATAACTGGTTTCTGTGCAAGACAATATTATTTCACATGGAGTATCACAGAAGGTTATCCGAGAATCAGTATCACTGCAGGTTGAACTCAGCTTTGGTGGAACAAGTTTAAGATTATTCTTTCCTAATAGTTTTTCCCTGGACAACTGAACTTTGAATACCAGGCAATACTGCTGTAAACTGAAGCATTCATACCTTGACAATCAAAAATATGATTGTCACTATTGTTATCTGAAATTCATATTTGTGGAGTAGCAATATTTTAAGATTGACATCCATATTACCAGAAGAGTCAAGACTATTTCTCATAAAGCAAGACTCAGCATAGCCATTTTTGTGAATTCTCAAACAAATCGTATTTGTAATCAAATGTTTCAGCTGCGTAATGTTTTTATGTTCATTATAGTTATAAAATAGCTTAAGATATTGTTGCAGCCTCTTTGCACTGTTTGCACACACACAGCATGCCTCAAGTATGCTTTAAACTTATCTTGGCCAAATCTTTACTGCACTTTTGCTGAGTCGAACTGATTCAAATGCTCATGCCTGAAGCTTTTGAAAAGGCCTCAAGCTTCACTACAGAAAAACTATCCAGCTTTTAATAAGTTCCAAATGGTGAGGTTGTTTTCCTTTTTTTTGTTTTACCCTGCCTACTTAGGAGTAAGTTTAAAGCTCTTGGTCAGAATACATAAAGGAAACTCACTGTACAGCTTACACATACCTTTGACCTTTTACAACTGAAGCAGCACTGCCAGAAGTAGTTTCAAGAAGAATTGAGAAAAGAGTTTTTATTAAAAGTAAATTACAAGTTTTAGAATTTGGGAAATATGCAGTAGAAACTGTAGTCCTTTTTCCATCTACAGGAGCATACACCATGTAATGAATGATGCAGCAAGCATTTGCAGATTTCTCCTTTAAGTTGTAAGCTCCTTAGAGCAAGGACAGCATCTGACACACTTATCACTTATATTACTTATCACTTATATTACAAAGTCAAACAGTGTTCAACACCAAAGGTAAGCTTTTATTAACTATTTGTTTCCCAACACCAATAAGTGGCCTGGAGACTATCTTACCTACCAGCAGCTGGTGAGGTACACCACCTCATCATTGAGCAATTCTTGGTTAGATGAGTCATCAGAAAGTTTCAGTCTTATCAGTTAAGTGTTCTCTTTTAGAAGATCTGTTCCAGAGCAGTAGTTAATTGGGGAGGGTGTTTGGCCTCTCAAATGGTCTTTTATAGACTGGAGGGTTTGATACTGCTACAAACACCACAATATGGAAATAATGATTAAACAAATCTTAGTGAAGTGCAGACTATGTTTCGTCCCTAAGCCTTGGCCATGTTCCTTTATAGACTTTTAAAAGCTTTTGAAAAATGAGTAAGTTTTGTTTGCAGCATGTAAAATATGTTATCATGCATTTGCTGTGGAAGGAAGAACAATCCAAGGCATAATCAAGTTGCACAGTTCTAGCCCAAGCTCCTAACACAGCTTTTGGAGGAATAGGAGGGAAAAAAACAAAAGAAAAAAAACCCCAAACCAGACACTAACTAAATAGACAAAGTATACATACTTTGGGATAATCCAGTTCAAAGAAGGTTTCCAAGTTGTTGATCAGGTTAGGATCCACACCTTTTAATGGTTTTAGAAGTGAAACACCAGGAAGCTTGCTATATGGCTGTTTGTCTGTGGCTTTCTTATTGAGGTGGAGGCGTCTGTAAGGAGAAATAACCACCACATAAAGAAAATATGCTAGAGAATTCCATTCAAAATACAGTTAGAACTAAGAAAGCTTGAGAGTTAAAAATACCACAAGAAATTAGTTTTGGTTGTAGAAACAACAGCTATTTTTACAACTGACAGCTGATGTGTCAGAGACAGTACCTAAAAAAACCTTAGTACTGTATGTAGGTTAAATTCAACTTTTTCCAACTTATAAGACATTTCAGATTAATCATTTTACACTATACATTTTGACCAGTAAGAATCAACTTTTTTCAAACTGCACAGGAAACAAGATTTTTCTTCTGTCCTCCATGCCACTAAAACTCAATGTACTATAACAGGATAATCAGACAAAACATCTACTGTAAACAAGGAAAAAAAAGGGTCAAGTGCTTTTTCCTACATTAATTTACACAAAACAGAGCTGAAAGCACAGGGGAAACAGTTGATGCTATTGATTAATTTTTAACAAATATCTTCAAGAAAAGGATAAGGATCAGTCAACTGCAGTATAAAAATACTAGAAAATGGGCATCAGGCTGAATCAGAAGCATAGATAAACCAAGAATGTAGTTCCAAACAGTCACTAGTATTTCAGCAATGAATATAGAAAGTAAATTGACGATCACGTCACACTCCTGTGTGAATTAATGTTAAATGAAATTCTGAAAGCTTGATGGGCCAGTATAAATCACTTTTGCATCAATATATATATGTAATTTAAGTAACTGGAAAAAAAGTATTTGCTGAAACTTAAAGACTCGCAAACTAGTGTATATGTTGCACACTGTAGTTCTCTAACATGCATAGCAGTCAGACTGAAAGAATATTTCATTGCAGCATGTAAGCTAATAGTATCAACTCTTCTCTTAAAAACTTTCACACTTCAAAATTTACATGATGCTGCTTCAAAAAAAATCCAAAACAAAAAACAAACCCAAAAGTGGGAATGGGGTTGCTTCGTGGAATGCTTCATCCTGGTTAAATGGTAAAAAAATAAGGAGTCAGGTTCCCAGGAGGCATGCTCCTGAAGAACGTGTGCCTGGCCAAGGGAGATTACCGAACCACGAAGGGCCTCCACTAAAAGAGACTCCTGTCGCTCTCTAGAGTTGTTTTTTCCTGAAATGAGACAGTGACTTCATACCTGTTACCTCATCAGCCCCACCCTCCTTCCCCAGCATGCTCCTTTCAGGCAGGTTTGCAGCTGGACACCAGGAGCATAATGCTGTTACAGAGAATAAGCAACAGGCTCACTAAAAACACGAGAAGGACAAAGCAGATTGTGTCCTTGTACTGTTATTGAGTCCAAGCCTAGGCACTGCAAAGGTAAACTGAAATAGTCTTGCTGAGCAATTAACAGCCAAGGGACAGTCAGACCAAAGCAAAAAAACAATAGTTCAGATAGCTACCACAGAAAGAGAAGATTTTCCTTACTGATTTTCAAAAATGTAACAGCAAGCAAGGGCTGCAGTGACAAGGGAGTCTAAGAATGCAACTCTGACTAGGAGGAACAAAAGGTAAATAATGCAAGGGGGAGGGGGGGAAAGTACTCCATTTAAAACAGACTGTAGCAATGCACATAGCTTTGTACAGACACAAGCCTTGAGCAACAGGAAATAAAGAGAAGGAAGTGGTACAGTAAATGGAAAAAGGTAAGGAGAGAAAGGATGAAGACAGACTTCAGGCAGGACTGTGATAAAGAATAAGCACCAAAGATTAAACTGCAGGGTCTTGCAAGGCATCATATCGCAAACCATGCTGACACAGAGGATTAGATTGAACTACATACGGAAAAGCCTTCATGGGGTGTAGGAGGAAAACCTTGGAAAACAAGCAAATGAGGCAAGCAGCATTATCAGGATCTATTCAGCTATGAAATACCACATGCTGAGACTTCTGACAGAGTATGGCTCACTAGACTTTCTAACATGCCATCTTAAAAATAAGATTCCAGTTCATGTTCTGCTCCTAACACTGCACAAAAGCGGCAGCCTGCCATCCTGAAAGCACTGTGGTATTGTGTCACTAAGGTAAAGCAACTTCCATGCCAGTAATTGCTCTGTTAGACTCTGTGGAGCAAGAGGCAAATTAACAGTAAACCAGATCATTTTACAATGAAAAAGACTATTTGGGAAGTGGCATATTCTGAAGAATTAAAATTTACAACTGAAAACCTATCACCACCAGAGAAACAGACCAACCATTATAAAAAACAAGTTACAATATTCAAATTAAGGCTAACATTAGCATGGAAGTCAAAAGAATAGACTAAACTTAAACAACATTAACATTGTTGATGCAGGTATGTTATAAATGAAGTTGCGTGTTACAGAACATGCACCAAAGTCTCCAAAGCAGAGGTAGGATGAACCAGTAATGTGTTACTTCTGAGCACTACCTTGCTCTTATGGTGGTTCAGTTCTCTCAGCCAGGTGATGTGGTCTTCATTACCACAGAGCATGTATGACACATACAGTTCAACATGACAAATTTAGTCAAAGGATTGCTGTCCTTTATATCACATATAGAATATTATATATTATTTTGCATTTAAATTAGCCCTAAGCAGTCAAAAAACACTAACTATACAGATGTACTTGCTTAATGCATTTTTTCTACCTCTGCTGAATGCAGTAAGCTGCAGAAAAACACCACACCACAGAATGGAAAACAACTTTAAGCTCTGAAACAGGTGCTGGCAGAACACTATTTAAAGACACTTTCAGACCAGTAGCCAGGTTACCTATAAGCACTTTTCCACCTATATATATTAAATGGATCAGCCTGCAATCCCCTAGGTAGTGAAACTGTGAAATTGCTTCCAAGCAGTCTTTTAAAGGCTGAGACTACACTTCCTCCCCAGACCTTATTAAAGGCAAGAAAGTATTCTAGTGAAAACAAGAAGCTTGCCACAGTGGACAGACTGCTGGGTCTCTCAGCTGAGACAGTAACACACGCCTTTCAAAAGCAGGTCAAAAATCTAAACACTCTTTATTGGCCAATTTCAACTTTCCCTCAGCAGCTACTTTACTAAAAAAAATAACCTATTAGGGGGAGGTAAGTAATTCTCGGTCAGAAATTTGTAACAGAGACTTAAATATTGCAAGACAGCACTAATGAGATGCAGGGATCACTGAAGACATCCCTTGAAGTCTATGGTTCCACAGGCCACCAAGATAAGCTAGCAGACCGTTACTTCTGAAAGGAGCTATTTTCCTGCTTCCACTTCTCCATTTACACACACGCCCCTTCCCCAGTTGGTTTTCATGTTAGAGAGCTGAACCTTCTCACACAGGTGTCTGTGGAGTGTTGGTCTGCTATGCAGTAGCAGTCAGGAGATCTCAGCTTGAACAGGAGAAATAAAATCTAAGAGTATTCTGCTTCTTTTGGCAACAGAAAGGTAAAAAGGATGAGCTCCCCAAATCTCCCTGACTTTTTATACATATCTTGTGTTAAAACATTTCCAGAAGTAGCTACCCTTATGCACAGAAGAAAAAAAATGAAGTTTTCTACAGATACACCATACTGGTTAGTGCATTAAGTACAACTGAAAGAAAGACTGGAAGAATTCAAGGAGTATTACAGGTAACCCCTAAATTTACAAAATGGTTAACAGCACTCTTGCTTCACAAAGATTAATATTAGCCTATTTAAAATCCTACCACATTAATGTAATGGTATAAAGACAATTCCGCACCCGATGACACAAATAACTATCAAATAAGTTTCAGTATCTCAGAGCAGTAACTTTTTACACAGTCATCTGACCATCTTACAGTTAAGTAACCAAGAACAGTTTATATAGAGATTGTACTTTTGGATATAAAAATAATATATGCATAGTTATATATTCATAGATGGAATAATATTTAGTTTCTGTATATCATAGTCATGAATCCAGGACAGCATTTGGCCTGGGAGCCACAGTGCAAGTTTCTACCTGCTTGGGAAGGCAGGAAGGGGTTTGCAGGAGCAGCCTTTGACATAGCTCCAGTCCACGCCACCAGGAAGCACAACAGGACGCTTGGGCGTGGAGGCAGAGAGAAGAGCAAGAGGACTCTCCTCAATGAAACCACTAAGCCTGAATAACACACTATTATCAAGTACTTACTCCTCATACTGCTCTACCCAGATTTAAGCACACAGTCACACTACTGTGCATTAAGAGGCCTACTACACTATTACTCCATTTTAGGGACCTCCTAGACTTCAGATAGATTTGAAAATTGCAAAACAGATCAAACAAAACCCAACATCACCTGTGGCCACAGGCTTCCTAGCAAGCAGACAGAATTATTATTAAAGCAAGAACTAAACAACATGAGCTTATTTTCAACATTTTTTCCCCTAGAGTGGAGCTTTATAACACAGCTGAACCAGTTTAACTACAGGCTGCTGCTCAGAGGCACTCCCTCTTTACTCCTTTCCCTTCTTTTTCTGGGATGTGCTGTGATTCTCAGTGGTGCTGACATTTGTCTGATCCCATCTCAACCTCGTTGAGATTCTTAAACCACCAGAGAACTATTACCCCATATATGTTAGCATTTTATCAGTTTAACTTAGCAAGGACACAATTTGAAAGGATGTGGCAAGATGATCATGCAGCTTCACCATCAGCAAAGATTCCCCAGTGTCCCTTCTCCTCTCTGCTGCCATCAACACCAGCCAAACAAGACACTGTGCCAGGACTGATACCTGTGCAATCCTGCTGCAACTCACTCACTTAGGAGATACTTAAATCTGTCTTTTTTCCTCCTACTTTAGGTTGTCTTCTGCCAAATTAGGGTTAAGGCACCTCAGGGAAGGCTGCAAAAAGCTCCAGAGCATGTTTGAGGGGTGGCTGTGAATGTGCTGCCAAGATCATGGGAGAAGAGGAGAAATAAAGTCTCTTTCCTCAGGCTTCAGTGGGCTTTAAGAAGAGCTGAGCTGCCCATGGATGAGCAGCATAAGCCCACTCACCATGGAGTCAGAGGTGGACAGTGTCAGCCCA